GAAGAATAGTAAACGTGTTTTGCAATATATGTATGAAGCTATTTTGTATATAGTATGTTCCCATTCCGTTTTTGCTTTGGTGTAGCCCTGAGGTTGATTGCTTATTTATTTCTACCCTTCCTCTCTCCATACTTCTGTCCCCCCCCCCCTCTCTCCCATTCCTTCTGTCGTCCACATGTATCAAAGGAGGCGAAATCGCCTGTTTGTGGTGCGACGTTAAATAAACTTCTACAACAACAACAACAACAATGTAAGGCGGTGTTTACATGAAGCGTTTCAACCCGGGTTGAGTTCGACCCGGGTCAGATTTCAACCCGCCATGTGCACAAAGTGAATGGCGCGTTTACATGACGCATTGCGCTTGACCCGGGTTGAAATTTCGCCCCGGGTTGATTTCAACCCTCCCCCCAAGGGGAGGGTTGAAATCAACCCGGGTCAAGAAAATCGTACAAACGTACTTCTGTGCGTATCTCGCGCCAGGTTTGAACAGCACTGCAGATGCAAATTTCGCGCGAACGGATTCACGTGACCATACAGGACTGTAGAAGTGGACTTTTGGCGGCATATCAGTATTTGACCCGGGTCAACTGTCTTCATGTAAACGCTGACCTCTTTTGTCTATCGTACAGACTTTCAACCCGGGCTGAACTCGACCCGGGTTGAAATTTCTCATGTAAACACAGCCTAAAAGAAAAAAGGCCCAACCCTGCCCTGCCAGCTATTTGAAGTACGTTAGTACGATTTTCTTGACCCCCAGGGGGAGGGTTGAAATCAACCCGGGGCGAAATTTCAACCCGGGTCAAGCACAATGCGTCATGTAAACGCGCCATTCACTTTGTGCACATGGCGGGTTGAAATCTGACCCGGGTCGAACTCAACCCGGGTTGAAACGCTTCATGTAAACACAGCCTCAGAGTACTGTCGTCTCTCAGCAGCTTCAAAGCTGCCGTCGTACCGTATACCCTCCGATCTTCCTGATGTTATGAAACTTGCCCTGTACTGAGGCTGTGTTTACATGAGAAATTTCAACCCGGGTCGAGTTCAGACCGGGTTGAAAGTCTGTACGATAGACAAAAGAGGTGAGCGTTTACATGAAGACAGTTGACCCGGGTCAAATACTGATATGCCGCCAAAAGTCCACTTCTACAGTCCTGTATGGTCACGTGAATCCGTTCGCGCGAAATTTGCATCTGCAGTGCCGTTCAAACCTGGCGCGAGATACGCACAGAAGTACGTTTGTACGATTTTCTTGACCCGGGTTGATTTCAACCCTCCCTTTGGGGGGAGGGTTGAAATCAACCCGGGGCGAAATTTCAACCCGGGTCAAGCGCAATGCGTCATGTAAACGCGCAATTCATTTTATGCACATGGCTGGTTGAAATCTGACCCGGGTCGAACTCAACCCGGGTTGAAACGCCTCATGTAAACACCGCCTGAGACAGCTTCCTGTCTGTGATTGATTTTCGCGATTTTCACTGTTTACCATTATTATTTGCCATGGCGACCCCCGTAAGTCCGTAATTGGCAGGGCAGGGTTGGGCCTTTCATCCTCCCGATGTTATTTTTTTTTTTTTTTTTTTTTTTTTTTAGGCTCAAACCATGCCTCTTGTACGGGCAAAACGTAAAATAAAGACAATCAATGATTAGATCTAGCGCACGCGGTGATGATCCTGTACAATGTCATTAATGACACTTGACAGATAATAATAATAATAATGTAAGCCTCAAGCTGAGATTCCTGCTTCAGCAACAACAAGCGCTGCCGAGTCTGAGGCCATTGCTGGTGAGAATGCCTTGCGTGCACCACGCAAGCACATCAGCGCTGAACGGACGAGTGCAAAGCCAATCTGCCAGCGGATGGCAGCTAGGGTGATGCTGTATGGCTCCCCAGTCTTGGCAGCGAGGAGAGAGGCGATGCGTTTGTAGAGCGAAGCACCATGCTTTCCCATGCCTCCGGTGGTCGAGAAGATGGCGGGGACAAAGCTGGAATGCTCCACCTCCCTCAGGCGCTGCTCATACGCACGACGCTTAGCCTTTTCATGACGGACATAGGTAGCAGCAAGTGAGTTGGAACGGTTCGAAGACGCATGGGGGTTGAATAACCGTACATCAATGTAGGTGCGTTCGAACCGTCCTCCCCAAATGCCACTAGCCACGACGTCTAGGCGTGCCTGGTCGTCAGCAATAGCAGTGCGATAACGGAGTTGCTCTCCGGAGAGTGGTTGGAGGTGTGGCTCAACTGCCACCTGATGGGCCACCCGCCTGAGCAGACGAGCAGTGAGGTCCCTCACCTCGTTGTGACGAATGGACGGAAATCCACCCGTCGGACACGAGAGGGAGTGAGACACAGTGAACTGCTGCCCACACGCACACAGTGATGGTAGCCGGACTGGCAGCCAGTTGAAGCGAAGGCAAACAGCATCCCGAAACTCCGACTTCGTCAGGGTGAAGCCATCATCCCGAAACTCCGACTTCGTCAGGGTGAAGCCATGGCGTTGAAGGGGTCGGCACGTGAGCCAGCTTGAGGCACCCGGTTCCGAAGCCAGAGCGATCACTCGCTGCAGCTCTGAACTGGCGGAGGAAGAGAAGGCCTGGGCTGCTGCGCGAATTGACTCCCCGGCTACTGCCATCACGCGCTTCTTGGCAGCGCGAACATCATGGATGGCCGTGCCAAGAACTGGATCTTGGGCGAGAACACGGCAGGTGAGGGAGGCAGTGATGTCAAGGGAGGACTGGTGCTGTTCGGCCCGGGACGACGGATGAGATATGCCAAGGCCTCCAAAGCGACATGGCAATGCTATCAGGGTGCGCTCCTCAGCATTGACGGGGCGACCTAGGAGAGCAGGAATGAAGGTGTTGGTGATAGCAGCATCAAGCGGAGCTAGGTGCTCAGCCATACCAGGTTGTGCCCTACAGAGAAAAGTCCATTTGCTCTGCAGGCCGTACACATACGCTGAGTAGGCTGCTTGCGGCTCAGTGATAGCATACTGGCTAAGGCGGTGAACTTGTGTGCTCCACTCCTCAACCTTCTGCTGCAGGTAGCTGGTGACAAAGGCTGGCGTGCCGATTGCAGCGCCGAGGTATCTTGCACCATCGGGTTGGATGGTGACACCTGTGCCGTCGAAAATACAGACAGCCTCATCGAGGAACTGAGGTTTCACAACCAGGATGGATTTGGACGGGTTGGGAAAGTATCCGTACTGGGGGCCCTTTCCGACTAGCCGATCCCACCACTTGCGCACCCGCAGCAGCTTGCCACCCGACCCAGCGTCGTCAGCATACCAGGACTGTACCGCACCTTCAGTTGCCACAGACTTCATCAGCGGGGCGATGCCAATAGCATACATGGCCATTGCCACAGGGTCGCCTTGAGTCGTACCTTCCTCCGATAGGATTGTTTCACCACCAACAAATAGTTTTGCGGGCCGACGGTATGTGTTGACAACCAGATGGGCGAGAGACGGACACGCGTGCTGCACATTCCTAAGGCAAACTTCGCGGTTCAGGCAATTGAACGCATTGGATGCGTCGGCAAGCAAAAGACACTCTGTGGACGGATCATCGAACACAGTCCCCATCGCATGGATGGCAGCTTCGATACCTCCGTCCTGGCCTGCACATAACTGAAGGCTTCCTGCAGCCTCCATGATTTCAGGGCGGATGACAGAGAGGATGGCCTTGCCCAGGATTCGGCGGAGAACCTCCCCAATGCCGATCGGTCTGACACCTGGGCTCCTGTCCAGAGGAATTAATCTGCAGGACGTGTAAGCTTCCAGTGCGGTAGGATCGACATACGTAGTTGCGAGGCGGCGCGCACATTGAGCCATAGCATCGCATAGCTGGTCAGATGCATCGGAGAAGCCGGTGCACATATGGCGCCACGTGTCCGCGTTCACTCCCGATGGGCCAGCACCTCCCTGCGTGTGTAGTGCGGCACGTCGGATGGAGGCTCTATTAAGAGCTTCGAACTGCACAGGATGAGGTGGTATGGGCGCTTGCCCGGGAATCAGTGCATCTGGGTTTGCTGGCTGGCCGATAGGGTGCTTGCTCTTGAGCACGTCACGAACAGTGCTGTCACCCACTCTGTCGTCCAATTCCAATACACCGCCACGACCACCCTCCTGCAACATGTGGATGGCGGAGGTTAACTTTCCACCCGTCACAAGGTTGGCAAAGTGCCGAGCGTCTGTGGACTGAGCAGTTGTGGATGACTGACGTTGAAGAAGCTGTTGGATCGTGCGACATTCATGGCGTAGTTGATCTATCTCGCCGTTATTCCACTGGTGCAAGCGGGTTTGGAGACACTTTGCGAGTGACTGTGATGGTGGTCTTGTTTTCTGAAGGAGAAGTTGCTGGAACACCATGGCAATTCTGAGGGCTTGACCCTCAAAGGGTCCTGAATCTCCAAAGCCCTGCAGATAGACACTCAGTTGTGCTACAAATGCCTTTCCAGAAGATCCATGTGGCACATTGAAGGTATTTGGCCTGAAATGTACTGCCTCCTCATATGCGGCATTGATGGTGGCTGCCGTAGTTTGGCTGTCCATAGTTCCCAGGGTGAATGCACCAGTCGCTGCAGGCGAATGGTGTGGCAGCGTATTGTTGTCCTGCCTGTTTGCATCTTGATGGAGGGTCTCGTCCAAGGGCAAGGTTGCATGAATCTGTGTTGCTTGACTACTATCTAGACCTGCAAGCAGATGCGCGGCTTCCGCGAGAGAGTCATCTGGATCGGCTCTAGCACTGTCCAGTAATACTTGCCCCGTTTCTGCCGAATCCGTACCTGGTTCATCCGCATCGAGTCGAAGCTGGCTCCTACTACTACTACTACTACTACTACTACTACTACTACTACTACTACTACTACTACTACTACTACTACTACTACTACTACTACTACTACTACTACTACTACTACTACTACTACTACTACTACTACTACTACTACTACTACTACTACTACTACTACTACTACTACTACTACTACTACTACTACTACTACTACTACTACTACTACTACTACTACTACTACTACTACTACTACTACTACTACTACTACTACTACTACTACTACTACTACTACTACTACTACTACTACTACTACTACTACTACTACTACTACTACTACTACTACTACTACTACTACTACTACTACTACTACTACTACTACTACTACTACTACTACTACTACTACTACTACTACTACTACTACTACTACTACTACTACTACTACTACTACTACTACTACTACTACTACTACTACTACTACTACTACTACTACTACTACTACTACTACTACTACTACTACTACTACTACTACTACTACTACTACTACTACTACTACTACTACTACTACTACTACTACTACTACTACTACTACTACTACTACTACTACTACTACTACTACTACTACTACTACTACTACTACTACTACTACTACTACTACTACTACTACTACTACTACTACTACTACTACTACTACTACTACTACTACTACTACTACTACTACTACTACTACTACTACTACTACTACTACTACTACTACTACTACTACTACTACTACTACTACTACTACTACTACTACTACTACTACTACTACTACTACTACTACTACTACTACTACTACTACTACTACTACTACTACTACTACTACTACTACTACTACTACTACTACTACTACTACTACTACTACTACTACTACTACTACTACTACTACTACTACTACTACTACTACTACTACTACTACTACTACTACTACTACTACTACTACTACTACTACTACTACTACTACTACTACTACTACTACTACTACTACTACTACTACTACTACTACTACTACTACTACTACTACTACTACTACTACTACTACTACTACTACTACTACTACTACTACTACTACTACTACTACTACTACTACTACTACTACTACTACTACTACTACTACTACTACTACTACTACTACTACTACTACTACTACTACTACTACTACTACTACTACTACTACTGTTGTGACGTAACGGACATATCTGTGTTTGAGCATGTCTTTGTTTTTTTGTTGTTTTTTTTTGTTTTTTTGGTTCTACTTTTATAATAGTTTGTTTTGTTTTGTTTATCGGACAGATCGAAATAAGCATTCACACGCAGACAAATTATACATCCACCACCCTATTGGTTTATGATGTTTTTACACATATACCCCCAATAGGCTATTTATCAGACTCGAGTTTTCAACTTACACATTCACCACTCAATCGGCTTTTGGTTTGTTCACACATACGTACCATACGCGATCTATTGGACTTGAGTTTTACCTTGTGTCCTTTTTTTGCAGTCAGCAGATTCTTTTGTTGGACATTGTTTATTGAGTTTCTTGTTGCTTTTGGTTTACGCATATGCGTCATTTGCCCGTAAAAGAGGCCTTACTACTACTACTACTACTACTACTACTACTACTACTACTACTACTACTACTACTACTACTACTACTACTACTACTACTACTACTACTACTACTACTACTACTACTACTACTACTACTACTACTACTACTACTACTACTACTACTACTACTACTACTACTACTACTACTACTACTACTACTACTACTACTACTACTACTACTACTACTACTACTACTACTACTACTACTACTACTACTACTACTACTACTACTACTACTACTACTACTACTACTACTACTACTACTACTACTACTACTACTACTACTACTACTACTACTACTACTACTACTACTACTACTACTACTACTACTACTACTACTACTACTACTACTACTACTACTACTACTACTACTACTACTACTACTACTACTACTACTACTACTACTACTACTACTACTACTACTACTACTACTACTACTACTACTACTACTACTACTACTACTACTACTACTACTACTACTACTACTACTACTACTACTACTACTACTACTACTACTACTACTACTACTACTACTACTACTACTACTACTACTACTACTACTACTACTACTACTACTACTACTACTACTACTACTACTACTACTACTACTACTACTACTACTACTACTACTACTACTACTACTACTACTACTACTACTACTACTACTACTACTACTACTACTACTACTACTACTACTACTACTACTACTACTACTACTACTACTACTACTACTACTACTACTACTACTACTACTACTACTACTACTACTACTACTACTACTACTACTACTACTACTACTACTACTACTACTACTACTACTACTACTACTACTACTACTACTACTACTACTACTACTACTACTACTACTACTACTACTACTACTACTACTACTACTACTACTACTACTACTACTACTACTACTACTACCCGCATGGGCAGCACCCGGGTCGCGACACTCTGCAGCTTGGGCGTGTGTGTGGATTTCGCGTGGGTCAGTGTCATGCTGTTGGTCTAATATGTCCCACGCCAGCTGTTGAGAATTTGAAACAGTCTCTTGTCGGCACTCCGCAAGCAGAGCAGACGTGAGTGACTCTGGGGTCTCAGCTGTGGTAGCCGGCCTCATTGTCATGTCACGCTGTGTAGGTCTGACATCGTCAGCATGCTTGCAAGTTGACACTTCTGAACTGGTGCTTGACTCCGCAGACTCCGCGGATTCCAGTAAGTTCCATGCTAGCTGTTGAGAGCTTGAAACATTCGACATAGCAGCGGCGAGTGCGGCGGAGGCTATGTCATCCGCTGTGGTTGCACCGGAGACAGGCGTTCTCTGAGTGGTGTGTGTGTTGGTTGTCGATCTTCGGTTGGGCGACGCAAATCCGAGTTGCTCAGGTGGAGCTGCCCCTGGCTTGGGTACGGTACTAACGGCTGGCTCTTCTCGTACGGTTACGGTGTTCTTACAGTTCGACTTCCGTCCTGGCGCGCAGCTCGTGCACTTACGATTCTCTTTAGCACATTTGCATTTGTAGCAGGTGCCATTGCCGTTGCACCGGCAACATTGGCCCTTGGTTTCCAGATGACGACCCCCTGGTGGTCCCTCCATGCTGTCCGCCATTCCGTCAAAGCATTGTGCGATAGAGTCGCCCGCAGAGGTACAAAAAACTTCACGACGCAGAGCTCCAAAAACTACGACTCGTACAAAACCTTCTTTACACCACGAACAAGCAACGCCATATATATATATATATATGCGTATAGTAGTAGCAAGTACTCTCGTTAGCAGTAACTGTTCGTACTTTGTTTTTTTTTATTTTATTTTTTATTTTATTTTATTTTCTCTATTTTATTCTCTTTACCAGGCGTGGGCCATCCCGTGCCTTGGGCCGTGATCGTTTGGTCGGATCCAGATCCAGATCCATCGGATCCACTGGATCTGCAATGATCGATTGGTCGAATCCGGATCCAGATCCTTCGGATTTGGATCCGAGCAACCGTGCCCCGGGAGCAGGGTTGACTGGATCCATCGGATCCAAATGTGACCTTTGTGCGTATATGGTGGGTAAAAATCATTTTTATACTCATTGTCGTACGTCTAGTGGACTTTTGTTGACTTTTCGTACGACGTGGGCGATCAGTACGACTTATGCCTTTTTTGGGTGACCTGTCAGCGCCATTTTTTACTTCGTCAACATGGCAACACCCAAGGTCCGCAAAAAAGTGTTCGGTTGATTCTGAAGGATCCGACGGATCTGAGATTTGGATCTGGATCTGGATCCGACCAAACGATCATAGCCTTATTATTATTTTTTCTGTTTCTGTTTTAATGACAGTCCACTGCACGCCTAAAAAAGTACTTAGTTTATTAGGCGGGTCACAGAACTATCGACTTATCGTTCGCTGGCTTACTTGTAGTTTGATAACGCTTCGCTCTTCATTGAGATATCTACCATTCTCTCTTTTTTCTCCTTATTTTCTCCCCAACCCTCCTTCCCTGTAACATAATAACATATTCCCTGCCTTGTCATTGTATTGAGCATTTGTGCTCGTTTGGATTTGCGAATTCAAATAAAGTATACATACACATACATACATACGCAGAGAAAGTGCGTATGGATCTGCCGGGCCGATCAACTGCAGGCAGAAAACTGCCAAATATGGAAGGGGAAAGTCCCAGTACACATTTAACGTGATTTCTCTACGTGAACGTAGAGCAGAACAGCTTTTCTTTACGTTTCGGGAACGCGAAGAGAGTTCCCAGGCCTACGTGATTTCTCTGCGTTTCACGTATACCAGAACCTCTCTTGTGTGTTGGTTGTCGCTCTTCGGTTGGGCGACGCAAATCCGAGTTGCTCAGCTGGCCCTGCCCCCGGCTTGGGTACGGTACTAACGGCTGGCTCTTCTCGTACTGTTACGGTGTCTACAGTTCGACTTCCGTCCTGACGCGCAGCTCGTGCACTTACCGTACTTCCGCACATACCGTATATTCTCTATTATAAGCGCCGTGCTTATATTTTTTCAACACCCCTCTACCCCGTGCTTATATTGGAGACCGTGCTTATATTGGAGACCGTGCTTATATTTTTTCAACCAATGCATCCATACAGAGCAAGAAGAAATACATGCTAGATATTATGCATCCACCAAGACCGTGCTAGTAATAGAGACTGTGCTTATAATACGGAGCATCAGCAAATCGAATTTTCGATTTGATTATTCGAATGGCAAAAAGAAAATCAGAGAGAAAATTCGAATGAAAAAGAGGTTCAGCATGTAGCGCAGTGGCCGCAGTCCAGTATTTTTAGCTACATGCGCAAGAATGAGTACTTGTAGTGCGCCGTGTACCAGAGCACGCGCGGAGCATTCGAAAAGTATTTTCTGTTTGCGGGCATTTTTCAGTCGAACAAAGCCCTAGTTTCGACTGATTGAGTGCTTTTCGTGACGATTCTCGAATTTCACTCGAATATTCGATTTGCTGATGCTCCGTAATGTTTCGAAAGGTGCTCACAGTGTGCTAGTATGGTGTTTTACGTCAACCATGACGGCTACAATGGCCAACCAGACCACAACGAAGTTGGGGCCAAAGAGAAAGTTTATTTCTTTCACATGAAAATATATACAGGGGCCATTTTTACGAAAAATGAATTATGTATACAAAAATGCATGTACGAAGTCACTACATTACACCCCCACCAGAGATGAAGCCGAGAGCAGTTGCTGAAGAACGCCAAACGGAAAAAAAAATCTTGGAAAGGAAAGGAAAGAGTGAGCGAAGCGTACAAAGCGGAAAGACGGGAAAGAAAAATACACTGTACAAAGAGAAAGACTGTACAAAGAGAAAAAATATGCGCTGCATGGGGAATACCGTTGTATGTGACGTGGACACAAGGTCCGAAACAAGGTAGAAAATGCAGGAAAGAGAAAGAGGAAACACGCGTGACAGAGGTGGAAGAACGTGTCAGAGGCAGTCCAGAGAAAGAAAGTAGAGAAAAGAACAAGGAAAAACGTACGCGTGACAGAGGAGGACGGATCTTGATCTTGTCAGAGGCGGCTGCGGGCTAGGAGATCTTGGCGGTTGATCGGCGGATCGGTGGATCGGCGGACCGGCGGATGGTGGGCTGGTGAGGTCGTGGGCTTGGGCGCCTGCTCAATCTGGGCCGCGGAGGTCGAAGGCGCGATGGCCTGCTCCATGCCATCCATACAGCAACTCCGACTCAGCGCAGTGTCAGGGGTCACCAATTATGGTGTTTTACGTCAACCATGACGGCTACAATGGCCAACCAGACCACAACGAAGTTGGGGCCAAAGAGAAAGTTTATTTCTTTCACGTGAAAATATATACAGGGGCCATTTTTACGAAAAATGAATTATGTATACAAAAATGCATGTACGAAGTCACTACACTAGTATTAGAGACTGTGCTAGTAATGGAGACCTGTGCTTGCAATAGAGAATATACGGTATAAGGGCGCGCTCACACTGCGACCATGAGCACGCGTCCATTATTATGTATTATGGGGGTGGCTTTATTGGTTTTGTGTTTGTATTATGCAGCATCCCGGGTCATTTAAGACCATGGGGAGTACTGCTGTTGTATGTGAAGAAAATGTAATAAGGAAGACTGAGAAAAAAGAAAGAAAAAAGAGAGAAATACTGTGAACAGCAAATCTACAATGATGCATGTACAATCTATTATACAACTAATCTGCGAGAATGAGACTTAACACAAGCAATGCGATTAATAGTATTAGTGAAGCGGACATTACAAAATGATGAATGAGAATACATGTATCTAAAATGGTTGTTCCTAATCGATTTTCTTGAGACTATCATCAGGGAAAATCGTCTCACAATAGAGGCTATACGGAGAAACAAACTACTTATAGGTTATTGGATAGTGGGAAGTATACAAGGTGAGGTGTGAAAAAACTAAAGTGGGAGAGAAGACGAAAGAAACACAGTTCCTCACTCTATCACATTCACCTGCTTCCACGCCTTCATTTCACTCACCTTATGTAGTAGCTCACACCGTCGGGAACACTCTCCCATCTCTTCTTCTAATTTATTTCGTCTTCTCTCCCACTTTAGTTTTTTCACACCTCACCTTGTATACTTCCCACTATCCAATAACCTATAAGTAGTTTGTTTCTCCGTATAGCCTCTATTGTGAGACGATTTTCCCTGATGATAGTCTCAAGAAAATCGATTAGGAACAACCATTTTAGATACATGTATTCTCATTCATCATTTTGTAATGTCCGCTTCACTAATACTATTAATCGCATTGATAAAGTTATTGTCTCCTCGTCGCCTTTTATTATTATTATGAACAGCTTCGCGTACTTGAGGACCAGCCTCTTTCCGCCTCTGTGTTCCTGAGCAATAGAAGGAGAGAGACAAAACTATACTATTATGATGATGACAAGGGAAGACATGGACTGCAAGGTACGGTTTACTAATCGACAATAAGCAAATAGCACTGAGAAGGATGGGCAACTTCTGTTTCGTCAGTGTTCACTGTGCGTTTTTTACGAAGGCCTTCCACACTTGCCTGTCGGATGCCTTCTGCCGGAGGCTCTGCAGATGCGGGCTCCTCTTGAGTGGCGTTTGTCTGTGGACGCAGTCTTGCTGGATCTGGGTGACTAAAGTAGTCAGAGGTCTTCCTGGCTTGGCTGTGTTCGGTGGATTGAAGTAGAGTGCCATGGCTTGTTGCGGTGGTGTGTCTTCGGGTAGGCGTAGGACATGTCCCAGCATGGTCATTCTTCGTCTGTGGACTTCCTCGGAGATGGGCTGGCTCTGACATCTCCGGTATAACTCGATGTTTGTGATACGATTGGGGTAATGTATGCCCAGTAGCGAGCGAAGCTGTTGCCTGTGGAACACGTCCAGCTTGTCACTGACTGCCTTTGTTGATCCCCACGTACAGCAATTGTACAATAGGGTCGGCAGAACATATGCGTTGTAGAGGCGAACTCTGCGAGCTTCTGAGACATGCTCCCTCCGCAGCCACAGAGTGTACATGTTCTTGAAGGCAATCGTTGCCCACTGCTTTCGCCTTTGGATGTCTTCGTTAGTTGCCATGAGTGATCCCAGCTGCTTTACTGTTTTCCAATTTTCTGTTGTTGACGATACTGTGACCCATTCCGTCTTCTGGGTGTTTACGTACAGCGACCAGGATTCAAGGACCTTCGCAATGATCGGCAGTGCAGCTCGTAACCAGTCTAGACTTGTGCTGTAGTAGTTGACATCGTCAGCATACCTGCTCTCATGGGGTAGTAGTCTATCGCTTTCTGGACGGGGTGGCAGATGGGACAGGACATCCCTCAGGGCCGCCTCGAGATAACAGGTGAACAGGACTGGGCTTAGGCCATCGCCCTGTGGTGTTCCAACTGTGTTACTGAACGACTCTGAGGTCGCCTGTCCAACGCGGACCACGAGGGTTGTTCTCTCCAGGAGCAGTCGCAAGAGTTTGCGTTCGTCTGGGCCAACTACTCCATCCATCACTTCCAATAGCCGCTGCCTGTTGATAGTGTCAAAAGCACGACTCATGTCGATTCCCAGCATGTGGTAGGTGAATGGATGCCTCTGTGTCTTAGCACTCATCCAACGCTGTGTCCATACGACGTCTGCCGTGCTCCTGCCTCTTCTGAAACCTGATTGTATCGCGCCAAGGTGTCCATCGACGGCTGGGGCTATTCTTTTGAGTACAACCAGAGATAGAGCCTTTCTGATGGTATTGAGTAGAACAACTGGTCTTAGGCTTGTTACTGGACCTCTGGGTTTTCCTGGCTTTGCTAGTGGTACTAATATGCCAGATCCAATGACTTGCGATAATATCGCATTATGTCTTGGTTATTGGTAACAGCTGTGTTTATGAGTCCGACGATCAAGGGTGACAAGTATCCTTTTCCATACTTCAGCAGCTCCGCTGGCACTCCGTCAGGTCCTGCAGCTTTCTGGTTGTTCATTCTTGACAGTGCAGCTTCCATTTCATGTACTGCTACTGGGTTTGACAGTGGCGTCGCCAAGCCCTCCGGTGTCGTCACATGGTTTGTTGGTGTGGGATTGCACAACAGTGTGCTGAAGTGGTCACGGACACGGTCAGCTCTGTCGACGTCTCGATCAAGGACTAATCCGTCCACAGACTCCACAATGATTTTCTTTTGCTTTTCTCTGCGGAAGACTGATGTTGCTTGGTACATTTTGATGCTGTCGGGAGCGCGCTCAATAGCTTCTGCTGCTCTATCCAGCTGAGAGTTGGCGTTGTCCAAGCACCTGCGTCGTATTTGGTGGGAAATCCTGTTCCTCTCTCCTCTAGCTCTGCGTTTGCCTTCATCGTCTAAACTGCCGTCCTCCAACCGTAGACGCAGTAGTCTCTGCTGCATCGACAACCGTTGGATCTGTGGGTCTGGATTGACGAGTCCCCGACGCGTTTTCACCATTGTTCCAAGAACGGATTTTGCCTTTTCCTTCACTATTTCTGTGACTGTTTGCCACGCCACCGAGAGGTCACGGTGCTGTCATGCAGTCTCCCTATGGCAACGGGTGGTTCCTGCTTCTTCGTCGCTCTGAACACTTTGAAGAATGAATCGAGTCGGAGATCGCTGATCACAAGTTTGTGATCACTGCACACCATGGTGCCACCATATGAGCGTGCTCGTCGAACAAGGGATTTGCAATGTTCCGGTACGATGATGTAGTCAATCATATTGTAGATAAGCTTAGTGCACGGTCCGTCTCTGACATATCCAGTCCACGTCGTTCTGTAGCGCTGTGAATAGCGAAAGAGTGTGTTCGCCAACACCAGACTCCTGGACGTCGCCCATTGAACCAGGGCCTCGCCATTTTCGTTCCGTTTGCCCTTAGCGTACTGACCAACACAGGGTGCCGTCCCAGTTCCAACTTTACTGTTGAAGTCACCTGCGTACAGAACAATGGCTCGTTTCCTCACGCTGGTCCATGCACTCGACAGACTATCGTAAAATTGGTCTCGGATGTCTGGGTTTTTCTCCGCGAGAGGGGTTGTTGGGCCGTATGCAGAAATGATACGCACATCGAGAGTGTCGCGACCGTGGGCCCGAGGGAACTTGAAGTCCGCGAAGTCGACTCTGTCTGTTAACTTCTTATGATGTAGCAGGAATGGTTCGATTCTTGGAGAGATAACGAATCCAAGGCCGCCATGCTTTCCAGATTCTTGGCCGAAGCTGATCAAGCGGAAAGTTTTTTGGCCCGCGTGTATTTTCCTGTCGAATGCTTCGGTGGTCTTGAGCTCTTGAAGGCTTTCAGAAGTCTACGCCATAGGCATCCATGTCAGTCGCCAGTTGCTGCTGCTTCACGTTCGACGTTAGGCCTCGAACATTGAACGTCGCTAATTTGAACAAATTCAATAACGATAAATTACGGCTGCTCGCCATATCCGCTGCTCAAGAACGTTGACAAGAGGAGAAAAAGGAGAGAGAAGAGAAGAGAAGAGAGGACAGGGAGAGACTAGAAAGGAAAAGAAGGGGAGAAAGAGGGTAGCTAGTAGAGAGGAAGAGAGGAAGAGTGGAGGAGAAGAAAAAATTGCGTGGCAGTCAGCCAAGCACCAAAGCAAAACGCAGAAACGTGGCAGTCGTGCTCACACTAGGCCTCGTACACGCGTAGACGTGAAGTTGTCACACAAACTTTACGAATTGCAGTTCGTATCCAAAAGAGTTCGTGCGTTTCCTAATAAAGTTGTGACCCGTTTTGGATGTAATTTTTCGCATGTTGCATGTTGGAGGAAGTGCCTCGTGGTTCGTATTCTTGAAGTCGATGAAAATAATTCATACAATCAGGTAGATTTGGACTCTTGAGGGACTGCCGCTGTCATCGAAGCGCTTTCGCTTTCCTGACCTCGTGGTCAGAGCAAGTGCCAGTGCAGTGGAAATTCCGGTAGTGGTTTCTTTCGTCTGTTGCCGAGATGAGAACTGTATTTTCCGATGATATGTAACTGAAATGTCTTGAGGTATGGCATTCCATCATCGCAGAAAATTAGAGAAAGATGATTTCCGAAACCGAAGAGCCAGACCAAGCTGCCATCGTATTGAACGAGTACACTGTTGAAATTGGTCACTGACCCGATCACAACGAAGCAGTAACGCTGGCCGTGAAAAGGGTGGCTCTTCACGTAGTTCATGCAGTAGTGATGTCTCCGGGGAACCATCTCCCCCTGCCCCAGGCGCTCATAAGCGTAGAGCTGAGAGCCCAACGGAGAGTCTCGCCCCAAGCGAAATTGACAACCCGTCCCAAAGCCGACGAGCTGGAGCTGAGAAGACAGCTCGCAAACCGCAGTCCAGCCTGACACCAGATCGTCAAGCCCAGTGCGCCGGAGTGTCAGAAGGTCCTGGCGATAGTGATGCTGTAAGGCAGATCAAGGGCCTCTTCGAGACGTTTCAAGGGCAATTTCGATCGGAATTCAAGAACATCATCGAAGAGACCCTGGGACCACGACTGGACAGCCTTGAAAAGAGGCTTGACGAGCAGCGCCAAGACATCAACCGCTTGTCAGCGGAGAACCGTAGGCTGAAGGCAGCAGTAGAGAAATGTAATGACGATGTTGGCAAGGCGGACAATGGTGCCAAGTCCGCCATTGTCGAGATGAAGAAAACATTTGCCGACATCACTGCCAGCCATCCTGTCGCCAGTCCAAATTCTGCTGCAAGCTCCAAATACGGACTGTCTGAGGAGGCACTGCGTGACCTTGTTGCGGAGGCCAGTGAGCAGCAGAACAGAGTAAACAATGTCATCCTTCGCGGCGTACAGGAGCTCCCATCGGAGAACCTGTCTGCCATAATCGGCACCCTCGCCCCACAACTCGCTCCAGAGGACATCAAATCTGCAGCCCGGCTTGGCCCCAGCCATTCATCACGGCCACGGGATGAAACATCTGGCTCACTTGCTGGGGCAAAACCAGCGCCTCGTCTCGTGCGAGTGGTGTTGTCCCCACAGGGGAAGAATTTACTTCTACGCAACAAAACGTCAGCACAATATAAAGGAGACAACGTCTACATCCAACACGACCTAACCCGACAAGAACAACGACGACGGAAGGACTTAGTCCCGAAGTTTCGAGCTCTTCGCGACAAAGGTGTACGATGTCACCTCCCCCGTGACAAGATTATCAATAATGGTGCACCGCTGTCATCAGACGACATCACCCGTCTCCTCAACACAGTCACCCAATAGGATACTGCCAGGGCATCCCCTCAAACGTCAGCACGAAAGCTAAGTATCGCTCACCTCAATGTATGTAGCCTGTATAATAAATTACATGAAATTGAAGCACTCATGCATGCTCACGATTTAGACATATTAACGTTAACGGAAACGTGGCTATCCGACAGTGTACCTGACATATGTATTACAGTACCTGGATACACCATGCATAGACTTGATCGGAACTCAAAGAGAGGAGGTGGTGTCAGTATATACGTAAGAGAAGGCTTTGATAATCGAGCACTACATCACTCCTCTCCCATTGAAGCCCTCGCAGTACACGTGAACATTCACCCCCAGCCTCTCACTATCCTCTGTGCATATAGAGCTCCAACAGTACCTGTGGCATTTTGGCAAACCCTATCTAGCCTAACTGATGACATACTGGATTGTACACCGGCCTCCTCCGCGTGCATAATTCTAGGCGATTTCAATGTCAATGTCCAAGACCCTAGTCACGCACACTACCCTCACCTACAAACATTCTGCTCTGATTTTGATCTCCGAAACGTTGTCACGTCACCAACTAGACTCCCCAGTGCAACAACCATAGACCTAGCACTGATCTCAAGCTCCTCCTCCACCACGTCCACTGCAAGACCAGACAGGGATGAACTGATTTACAAAGACTGCAATGTTATTCCATGTGATATTTCCGATCACCAACTTGTTCGTGTGACCTACACTATCCATGCTACCACCAGCACACTCAAGACAAACAGACAGGTACAAGTACGAAAGCCACCGCTGCGCACGTTGAAGATCAAGCAATTCCAAGAGACAGCTGCTAAGCATATGTCTACTCTCCACCAGCAGATCACACGCAGTTCATCACAGATGTCTCTAGATAGTTATACTGAACACTGGCAGGATGCAGTCAGTGATGCCTTGAATGAGTACTGCCCACTAAAGACCGTTAACGCCAAGAAGAGCTATACTCCATCGCCTTGGATAGACGATGAGCTCCGGCAGACTTTATTCAAGCGTAAACGAGCACACCGTGCAATGATAAAACGTCCTGATCGCCCAGACCTGCTGCAACAATTCCGAACTCTACGAAGACAATGCAAACTTTTGACTAGGAAGAAACGGTCTACATACTTCCAGCAACAACTAATCAATCATCGAAACCACCCAAGAGAGCAATGGAGTGTCATGAACAATCTACTGGGTAGAATTAAAATCAACCAGGAACCTGCTGCCGAAGTAGCCGACATCACAAAGACATTTACAGACGTTGTCAACGATACATCACTTTCTGGCAGTACACTACGCACTCCCAATGGCCCTTTATCGGAATACTCACTGACACAGTTCACACCAGTCACTGTTCCACAAGTCCAACTCCATATCCAGAGAATGAACAG